TTTTTTTTTGAGTAGGGATAGAACTCAGGGCCTTGGGTTTGTGGGGCAGTGATGCCCGCAAACTAAATCCCCAATAGCCTCAGTCTCTTCAGTGGCTGGGATTACAGGTGTGGTCACTGCACCTGGCCTCTCTGAATTCTTTTTTTTTTTAGTATCAGGGATCAAACTCAGGACCTTGCACTTGTGAGGCAGGCAGCAGAACTACTGAGCTAAATTCCCAGCCCATCTCTGAAATCTTTCTAGTTCCGACTATGGAGTAATTTTGGAGTAAGCTCTGTCACATTATTGTGCTTCTGAACTGAGGAATTCAAGTTTTCTACTCACCTCAGAGCACGACACATCAGGGGGGCCCTGGCTTAGTGCCGTCCTCCTCTCCCCAGCCCAGCCCAGCGGAGGTCCTCAGGTTCCTCTGCATCAGTCCCTGCTTGCTTCCACCACACAGAGTACCACCTGCTCCACCCCTTCTCAGGGCTGCCCTGTATCTCTGACTACACCACTGGACTTTATGTCTTGGATTCCAGTCTCTGTCTCCCTTAAGGAACTACTTAGGAACTACTGCGTCTTAGGAAGGCTAGACTCAGCAGAGAATCATTCTGAGGAAGGGAAGGAGTCTTCCATGCGGAGGATCAGGGCAAGGGGTTGGAAGGGGTTGGGCGCTCTAACCTGCAGGAAGGAGAGGTCAGCATTGTGTCCGGTGAGCACAATCTCAAGGTTCCCCATCACCACCTCACACCTCTCGTAGAGCTTGTGCAGTGTTTGGTACTGGTTCTCAGCATCGCCAGTCACACTCAGTCCGTTCAGAGTCCCAGGACACACTGTTCAAAATGGAGATAAGTAAGAGTGGCAGACTGCTGGGCACAACTTTTCTACCACCCCGAAGAGCATCCCTCTTTGTTGCCCTCTTCCAGAAACATTCAGCAGGACCAGAAGGCAGCTGCCTCCAAAGCTCCCCAAAGAGGAGTAAACAGTGACACCTACCATAAAGTAAAGGAAGCCTCCTCCCTTCTCACAGGGTTCCTACCACCCCCTCAATGGGAAGTGAAAAGGTTGCCTTTGTCACCGGGACACACCCTCTTAGGGCTCTTTCAGGTGCTACTTTGGGGACTAAGGGGTTAACCCAGAAGGAAGACAGAGGGAACTTTTTCCCCTCCCTAGAAAGAAGTCAGGCAAGGACCACAACTTTGATTACCCTCACTCCCTCTTAGTCAGGGCACTTACTTCTCTGCCCCCATCCTGCCCCTCTCTAGGCCCCGGGATAAATGTCTCTTTGGGGCTAGCACACAGCCCCTATTGTGTCTGGAAGGGTGGGATGGGACAGAGGGTGGGGGCATCGCCTGGGGCCACCCTTCGGCCCACAATGAGGCGATTCTATCCAGGAGGAGGGGGTGCCCCACCCTGTCCCAGACACCCCATCCTCAGCAGCACCCCCCTCTGCCCTGGAACCCTGGGCTCAGACAAGTGACCTCACTGGAGGGGGGAGCTCCAGTAGTAGTGGGGTCAATGAGAGCTTTGTCTTTAACACTGGAAGATAAGGAGCTGGCAGCCACCCCCCCCCTTCCTAAATTTTGGCTTCCTTTCTCACTCCCTTCCCCTAGCCCAACACACTCTGCTCCCTCAGCACTACTCTCTAGCCCTAGAGTGGTTTTCACCAAACACAGAAGCCAGGAAGGAAACAGCAGCAAGCCCCTCATTTCTAAACTCTCGGCCAATTTCAGTGTGAGCAGAGACTCATTAAGAAGGCCTGACGTGGGGGATCATCACCGGCACTCTACTTGGGGGAGGCCTAGACCCCAGGCCCTGGAGAAGAGGCAGAGGAAGGAGGCACCTCAGGCTCTCACTTTCCTCTGTACGTGTGGAGGACAATGGGCTGTGGGAAGTCTTGGATCCTGAAGCTCTACCCTGTTTCTTGCCCTTGTGAGTAGGGTGCAGAGGAGGGGGGTAGATACCACCTGTTCCAACCACCCTTCCCTGAGGCAGGGGCAGCTCTGTGGGAGGCAGACGTGCCCAAGAAAAGGGAGGGAGAATGAGAGCCTCCTCTTGCTGAATACTCCCTTGGTCAGACCTCTTGGCCTCTGAGGGATCCCCTTCCCAGTCACTTCCAGTGAAGGGGCAAACACGCTGGGTCCCAGCGAAACCTGGGAAGGTTAGTCATTTCTGGAGTGGCCCCACCCTAACCCCTTTCCTGGAAGGACACCCCCTCTTCCAAGTTAAGGCGCCAACCCTTTTCCCCAGATAAAGGAGGAGCCAAGATTTCTGTACCAGGAAATGGTATGTGTGCGTGCGTGCAAGCGTGTGTGTACACACACACACACACTACCCAAGACACAAACACAAATATGTACACAGCTCCCCTGCTGACCCAAAAATCTAACTGGTCTGTCCTTGGGATCCTTAACACCAAGTACTCCAGGTGGCCCCGCCAAGGCCACCTGGCCATAAATACTGGTTTGGACTTTGTGTCTGTGCTTGGAAGGCAAGAGTGTCACAGGTCCCATTCCCTGCCACCCTGAGGGTGAAGTCCACCTTTCATAAGTGAGGGCAAGGGGTCTGGGCAGGGAGGATATACAACACCTCTGGGGAGGAACCAGGTGACTTGGGGAACAGGGAAGGGGGATGAGAATTACAAAAATCCCTGCTGTGCCCAGGAAACAGGAATGTGGGGGAGGGAGGCAGTGTCAAAGACCCTCCTTATGCGGAGTGCACTGGGGGTAAGCAAGAGCAAGAATCCCAAGCCCCTCCTCAACCAGAGGCGTCCCCTCCCATCCTCTACCCCATCACAGCCAGGACAAAGGGGCTATAGAGGGCCTGAGACAGGGCCGGATGCCTAGAGACTGCAGGACCCAGATAAAGTGTAGAGACCCAACCATGCCTGCCTCCTGCCTGTCTCAGGGAGGATGTCAAGAATCTGGGACTCCTGGGATCCCGGTTGAAGATTCTAGGGTTCTGCGTGGGACAGTGACATAGTCACTCCACTGGCCAATCCCACTCCAGTCAGCAGACCACCCCCCTCCACCAGCTGGGAGTTTCATATCTCAAGATCCCAGGAGCTAAATTTAGGCCCAGCAACTGTGGGGAACCACAGGTGGTTTCTCTTACTCCCACCCTGGGGAAGGGGCCCTGGCTGTGCCAAACTCCAAGCTGAGATCTGGGGGGATGGGAAGAGATCAACAGGACTCTGATCCCACCAAGGCCAGCACCCTTCAGGTGTCCCTGTTCCCACAGACCCCCAAAGGTGTGGGCTCAGACAGATGGCATGGGAGTGGGAGGTGGGATGATGGTGAGGCGCAAACTGGAACCAGTCTGGAGCTAAACAATAAACACACTGGGGGAGGGGCAGGCACAACTTCCTAGAACAGGTGTTTTAAGGTGGGAGAGGTGCCTGCCTGGCCCTCAGATTGGGGTGAGAAAAGATAGGAGAAATAAAGTCTTAATGTCCTTTCCCCTTTGGAGCTCTTGGCTGTGCGTAGTAGATGTTCAGTAAATATTAGTTGAATTGACCTGGGTCAAGTTGACAAAGAAAGGCTGGTCAAGTTGGGCCCAGCCAGCTTTGTTTTCAGGTAAAGCGAACAGCCAACCCCTGTTGGGCCTTTCACCCTGACGTCCCCTGGACTTGGCCCTCTGGTTAATCTCTACCCTCCCCAGGGCAGGCCCACTCACGGAAGAGGAGGTGCCATTCCTGTTTTTCCAACATCAGAAAACAACAACCTTTCTCTCGCCCTCCCACAGCTCCGCCCCGTCGGCAAAACATCGAAACTAGGGGTTGCAGAAATCCTGGGTGGGGTAGGAGTCTGGGGGCAAAGTGTGCTCCTCCCGCCAAGATCCCCACCTCCGGCAAACTCCTCGTGTATACAAAACCTCTGTCCCCGCTCCGATCCCTGCAAGGCCCCTCAACCTCACCTGCGGAGACCAATTTGCGCGGGTCTGCGACGCCCTGGGAAGGGACGGCGCCGGGGAACGCAGAACCTGCCGGACCGCGCCAAGAACCCGAGCCTCACCCTCCTCTCCCGGTGCTCCCAGCCCACCGTGGGTCGCAGCCTCAGCCCCACAAGCCGGGGCCCCTGTCGGCGTCCCCGCGCCACTTACC